CTATAAAACTTGTATCTTATTGGGGAATCCTGGATAGATATGCTAATTCCTGAAACCTATAAAACTTGTATCTTATTGGGGAATCCTAGATAGATTTGCTAATTCCTGAAACCTATAAAACTTGTATCTTACTGGGGAATCCTGGATAGATTTGCTAATTCCTGAAACCTATAAAACTTGTACCCGTGCTGTACACGGGGGTGCATTCTGCCATCAAGTTGTGCACCTGGGATCCCAAATCCTGAGGTAAAACCCTTTTTATCCCCTTAATGTCTGTGTCATTATTAAAAATTGGCCWTTCAAGGACCCTGCTCACCATCACCAGACCTTCCCTGGTCACTTCTTTTGTCTGCTCAGGAATGGGGTGCTGTGGGCAAGGTCCCTGTCCCAGTCCATCCTCTGCCACCCATGGCTCCTGCTGTTCCATGACAGAAACAGGGTTTGGAAAATGTGAACAGGCAAATCTGTTTCCAGTTATTGAAAAAAAATAGCAAAGGGAGAAGCCCATCAGTGGTGTTGATCAAATCTGGTTTTAGAACTATCTTTAGATTCCTCTTTAGGATCTGGGTGGCTTCCCAGGTCCTCCTGAAAGCAAAGGCAGAACTTTCCAGGCCCCACCTACATGTGCACATCTCACACGTGCCTCATTATTGTGGTCATTTCCAACTCCATTCCATAAAATTGGGGAAAAAAAAGAAAACAACACCTATTTTCGTGTTTTTCTACAGCACAAAGGATGCTTCTCACTAATTAGACACTTCTTCAAAGCACAGTCCCTTCCTGCTGTCTTTGGTTTACATTTCCAACTTTACCACACATTCCTTGCTTTTTATTTAACTTCTTGTGACAGAAGGGGCAAAACAGTCTAATAACTAACTGAGTCATTGTCAGCATTAGCACAGAATAATTGTTCTCTAATAAAGACATGACAATCCAAGAGGTTGGCAGGAATATCTTGCACTGCACAGGCATTAGTGCAGACTGGCTGTACAGCATTAGAAACATGTTCTGGATGCATTATTTAGTACTGCACCTTTGAACTTTCAGCCCTCCAGCAAAATTTTTTTATGGCTCTTGGACCAGAAGAACAAGAAAATAGTAGAGTTTGCTTCATATAAAAGCAAGMAGCCTAGAAAAGACTGATTACTGGAACAATGCAGTGTGAGGAGTGAAAGGTTGAGCAAGTGCATCAGGAGTAAGAATTTTTTTCAGAATTCCTATATAATTTACTGGATGGCAGCAAAATGTATTGAATCAACATTGTTTTCCCCCTTGTATTTAAAACATATTCTCAGCTTAGCATTCCTGGACACAGACAGAATTGTTACTGCAAAAAAAATTCATTCTAAATAGTATTTTAAGTTATGCTGCTTTACACCAGAAAGGGACAAACTTGATTGTGAAGACAGAACAATGGAATTATTAAGGAAAAAAAAATATAATCACTTGCATGGGTGCCWGTGTAGATTGATAAGAAAGTGGGAAACACAGAATTATGCTTGATAAGGATTAAAGAATTAATAAGACAAATCAGTAAAATCTAAGAAGTGGTGGCTCACCCATTCCCTATAACTGGATTTTACAGGGGACTACACAAGGACCAGAAGCACCTTCCTCTTTCCAAAAAGACATTATTTCCTCCCCAAGCTGTCCTGTGCTGACATGGGGGCAGCAGAATGTAAAAACTAATTCCTACATTCACTGTTTGAAYATTTATCTGGTGTGAGAATCCACTGACTCTTAATTACAACACCTCCTATTTAATCAAGAAAGGGACAGTCCCTCTGCAGAGCAATGTTTCAGGATGATCATATGAGGGGTTCTGAGCTTGCTTTTGTTAAGCAGAGAAAATAAAGTGGCACATAAATGAGAGGGGACATCCAGCTCTGGCCATAAACAGCAGGGCAGAGAAAAGCTTTTCTGAAAAGCCAGMCATGTACAGGTCACTGTTTATGGCTGCTCAGAAGGTGACTGTAAATCACAAATCTGCAGCAATGCCTGAGCTGTGTTATCTTTCCCTTATATCCCATTAATGCCAGAAAAACTCTGCTGGAACCAAGGACAGGCTGGACCTGCATGTTCCCAAAACTGCTTTCTGACACTGCTCTGATCACCAGCTGTTTCTCAGATCTGACATTTTTGCTCTGTGACATTTTCTCAAAAGCAGTTTTCTTTCACTCTTACTTTTGATCTTTTGTAGACAAAGACAGATTCATTTCTCTTTTAYATTTCTTAAAAACRAACTCAGCACAGGTCTRTAGAATAGTTATTTTGATARCCACRTTACAGATGTTTCAAAATCTTGAAMTGGCCCATTATCTAGCTAACTGCTGAAAAATCTCACAAAATAATCTTGATCCAACCTTCTACCCATTGTTCTAATCTTTCCATGTCAAAACAAAAATCAAAAGTAGTAAATGTTGCACATACGAAATAAAATCTAAACTAGGTCACTGCAGGATATATAAAATTCTGTGAGGAATTCACCTTTCCAATAACTCATTTTCCAACATTTTACAAGTCTGAGGAGCTTTTGTTACTCATATTCCATCAGCATTCTGCAACTGGAAGTAATGCTTGGCAAAGGAMTGTGACACAGAGGTTTGTCAGAGCTTTCCATTTTAATTCACTGCTTATGCTCTGGTTCATCTGAAAACACTTAAAAACTAAATCCAACTTCCCTGAATCCTTTGATTTATCTGGGGACTATTTACCCAAAGACATGTGAAGGACACAGGCTTTATTGCCTTCCTGATCTATAAGAAAGGACTTATGGATTCTCTGAGGGATACTGGAAGAATAAACTAATTCATGTATAGATCTTTGAAAATGAAGCATTAGAAAAAACTTCACCAAAAGCCCTCACCCTGTTATTATTGATCTTGTGAAAGGTCTAAAAAAAATAGCACTTTACACAATCAGTATCCAATAGCAATTGAAAACTTTTAAAGACAATTTCTCAATTATTCAAAYTCTCTAAATCCATTAGCTTTCATCTTTGTCAACTGAGCCACATAAAGATTCAAAATAATAGTTTTGGATTTATTTCTGTGACGTTTCTTGATATATTTACTTTTCCAAATAACTTCAAGTTTTGAATTCCTACCCTGCTTTTAATTGTTGTTCAGCATATTTTTATTTTTCCCCCTTTTCTCCTTTTTATATATGTTTACTCATTTTGTCTCAGATGTTTTATTTTTGGGCTGACCTTTTTGTGCTCTCAGTAAAATTCACAGATTCAAAACACTGGTGTTTTATTTATATAATTGCTGCAACTCTCTTCTGCCATTAATCACTGATTACACTGAAGTTTTATTTGTTTGTTTGATCCTGTTTCAGTTACTTTACCATGATAAAAAGAGCTTTGAAATTAATACATAATGAAATAACATATTAAGAAGACAAGTAACTGCCACTCAGAAACCAAGAAGACAATTTGAAGAGCCAGTAACTAAAAAAATACCAACAAAACTGGAATGTAAAGTCACATAATCTAAAGAAAAAAAAAAGCTAATTGTCATCTCAATCACTAACCAGAATTGATTATTTCCTTAACAGCTTTAGAGAATTAAGTGCTATGAAGGATCACTCACTACTAATGCTGTACAATATGCATTCTTWTTTCTTCCAGGGTATTTTTTCAGTCATGTAGAGTGCTAGAAGAAGATTAAACTTGTAACAGGTTTCCAAGGAGCATGAGTATTTGTATAAATATTTAGTCAGATTAAAATTATACTTAAATGTGAGATAATGACCTTCCTGGTCAGTGGATTTAAATACAGGCTTTTGGAACCTTCCTTTAGATTGCAGAACCTTATGGCTTTATTGAAAATTAACAGTGCAATTTGAATTGCATCTATTATATTACCACTGTTATCATCTACATATAATAACACAATATGGTGATTAGGGCATCTTTTTTATTTTAGAATTCTGAGGGGAAGTTTTGAAAGTGCTGAAGCAGCATTCTTTCTGCAGTCAGTAATAAATATGGATTTAAACCCCATTCATTGTATCTCTCATAAGGTCCAGGAGAGTCTCTAATTGGGCCACGTTAAGATTAAATGCTCATTAATACATTTGTAGCCATGGTCAGAATCAGATTCCCTTGAGAAAGAGAAGGAGGAAAAAAAAAAAAAAATAAAGATCACTATTGTGGCTCACAATCATAGAGAAACCCACCAGTAGGCTTTTTAATTCCTCCATGCAGCATCTGTTTCTTCCTCAAAAACCAGAATTCCTTATATTCCTTAGTAGTATAAACGTTTTAGTGTACAAAGGTTGCCATAATTTCCACTTCTGGGGAAGAAGAATTTTTTTTCTTCATCTTTGCCTAATCTTTCACGGAAATTAGCACTAGAAATTAAAACTGGGCACACTTTTTTCATGAAGCACTGAAGTCTCCCAGGAAGTTTTTCTCTAAACCACTGGAAGTTCCTATGATGGTCTATCCTAACCTTCATCTGCCCAGCAAGAAKCACTTAACTCTCAGCTTTTCATTCTCCACCAATCACTGCTTAACTAAATGTGTCTCTTGGTTTATCTCTTATACTGCCTAAAAAAAATGCATTCTGAGCAGGGAGTATTTACAAAATAATATACATTTTTAAGCTCAAACTTTTTTTTTTCTTTACATTGCAGGGTGCCACTAGACAATGATCTGCTCCAAATTGTAATAAGAAAGCTGATTGTAATTAACATTGCAATTAATTCAATTTTTCACAAAATGGATGYAATTYRTACTAWGAATCTGATGAYATTATATATRTAATTTTGAAAGTTTCAGAATTCCAGTGTCCCAGTTACATGCAAGATGTCTAAAGAAGAAAAAATGCTGAGAGTCAGATGGTTTCCTTATGTTGTCTAACATCAGATTCACACAGAAAATCATCCYCCACTAAAGGGCTGTGCCCTCAGAGCTCAAACAGAAAAGGAACACCAGCTGGTTTTTTCAGGCAGAAAAAATTTGTCAGAAAGGGSATCATCAAGACTGGTTCAAAATATGGCCAGCTTCAGATTAAAATGATAAATAAATAAAACCAAACCAACCAACCAGCCAAAAATATCAGGCAGGTACTGTAGACCAGGACTACTTTAGAGCCAGACTTAATATTCTAAGAAACCTGGAGACCCATTGAACCACAAGCTGTGCTACTCAGAATACATTTTTCAGCAAAAGACAATCAAGAAATTCAGTTGCCAATAAGCCCAGACATGCTATAAATCCACAATTCTGCATTAAAAAAAATAAAGAAGAACAAAAAGCAACAAATCCACAGAGGTCTGCAAATGAGCAAAGGTTAAAACCAATGGTTTAGATGACACATAATTAAGTGGATTCATGGCACCAGATGGTCATGGCAACAATAGGAAATGCATCTATTAAATACTGGAATTTCTAGTTAGTATTCATGATGTGTGCATTTCTTCACWTTAGGCAGTCTCTTCTTCAAAATCAAACAAAACAAATGTATATTTAAAAATAAATGTGAAATAAAATTTCACATGAATTATGAAATGCACTATAATCTCAAAACTGAGGAAAGATAGAGGGAAGTGTCTCTAATGGGCACTAACACAACCTTACAGATATCAGATTTGGCATCTCCACCTCTCTTTCTCCTCTTGCCCATCTGTATAAGGAAGTGTAGATTTTATACAACACTTGCAAGGAAGTTCCTCAAGAATCTGTGTCTTATTTCCAGGTAATGAGAAWTTCCCAGTCAGTCCACTGATAAGAAAGGCTTACAGATATCAGATTTGGCATCTCCACCTCTCTCTCTCTCCTCTTGCCCATCTGTATAAGTAAGTGTAGATTTTATACAACACTTTAAAACAAGTTCCTCAAGAATCTGTGTCTTATTTCCAGGTAATGAGAAATTCCCAGCACGTTAGTCCATGGATAAAAAAGGCTTACAAATATTACAATTGTCATCTCCACCTCTCTCTCTCCCCTTGCCCATCTGTATAAGTAAGTGGAGATTTTATACAACACTTGCAAGGAAGTTCCTCAAGAATCTGTGTCTTATTTCCAGGTAATGAGAAATTCCCAGCACGTTAGTCCATGGATAAAAAAGGCTTACAAATATTACAATTGTCATCTCCACCTCTCTCTCTCCCCTTGCCCATCTGTATAAGTAAGTGGAGATTTTATACAACACTTCCAAGGAAGTTCCTCAAGAATCTGTGTCTTATTTCCAGGTAATGAGAAATTCCTAGCACATAAGAAAGGCATACTTAGGTGTTGCAGGGGATGCAGATCTTCTGGACATTGCAGCAGGAGAATCAGACCTTCTCAGAGGAGATCCCATACCAGATGATGGAGTTGCAGGTCTCTTCTCTTTCTTTATCTTCTCAGTCTAAAAGCACAGGTAATTTGRATTTCCATAATTAGGATCAATAAATCAAAACTGCATTTTATCATTTTATGAGCGAGATGGCATAGAAACAGATTTGTGTGGCATACTTYTAAAAGCTTTTTAAACAGCAGCTCACAACTGAGGTGCTATTTATAGTTTTTTTCTTTCACACAGACATTGCACACACCCACCCCTGTCTTGCATGAAAATTGTAGATAAATATTACCACATCAGAGTCTCTACCCAAGTTCCAAGCTGGGGTGGAGGCACAATTTTTCACAAAATGGATGTAATTCGTACTACAAATCTGATGATTATATATATAAAATTATATATAATTTTGAAAGTTTCAGAATTTGGAGCCTTATGAACCAAGAACTGCAGTGGAATCTTCAAAACCATCCMTATGCCCCTGCTTAAAAATGATCAGCAGCACAAACAGGCAACTCACAGAATGCTGCTGGAGCTAACACAAATCACACCTAACACTAACATGACACCAATCTTTACTCCCAGCTTTGGTTCTTGCAGCTAATTTAGATGGCACAAATTCCCCTATTATTAATTATATGAATTTCCTAGCGCTAACAAGACTTTTTTTTCAAAGCATGCCTTAAACTGTGTAAGCTCAATGAAGGTGAGCAACTTGCCTTTTCTTTTCTGGAAACTACAGTGGATCAATAATACATCTTTGAAGCAAACAGCATTAAAAATGCCCACAGAAAGAATTAAAGCAATTGGTGCAAAAGAGAGGCATTATCAATACACTTGGGGAGTTTCTGAAATATAGGAAACTTGCTCCTAAAATAAAGGAAACTTGCTCATTAACCAGAAAGACTGGACAGTCATACTCAGGGGGGAGATTCTATTTGTCATCCTCATTCCCAGAAGTTCCAAGCAAGTTCAAAAACATTTCAATGTCTCAGTTCTCTGCAAAAAAAAAGGGTGTTGGTGATGCAAAYAGCAGCACTCAACACTGATTCCCAGAAGGAAGAAGATATTAAAATGCTTTTTAACAGAAGCAATAGGTGTTGGCAGACCTTACTGCTGGTTCTTTACTTCATTTCTATTCACGTAAAAGAAAATCCAACAAGCAGAAGCTGCATCAGTTTACCCAGCAGTGAAATCCAAACCATTTCAAACTCACCTGAGTAATTTCAGCTGCAGGTGYCCCTTTGGTGGCATTGGCAGTGGAGGGTGAAGTTGCCTTTTTCCTCTCAGTGTTTCGGGTAGGGGAAGGCTTGTAGGGAGATTTKAGAGGACTGGCTGGTGCTACACGAGGACAGATATGGAATACTAAAGAGTTATAGTACAACAGCAAGAGCAAAAGGGAGTACAGATAGAGGAAATAAAGGAGGGGAGAAAATAGCATACTTTTATGTTATATTGTTACTTTTATGTTATAAAAAACACTTCAAAACTATCACATATTACACATTCAACCTGATCCCATGTTTATTAAAAATGTCTCAACAGAAACATTTTATAGGATTTAAAAAAAAAAAATCTCTAAAATATTGCTCTGTTACTCATATACCTTCTGAATCACCTGACTAATACTGTGACTCTTTTTTCTTCTACAAGTCCAGCTTCTTTTGCATATTATAAAAAGAGTAAGCAGTTAATTCTAGCTGGGTGACTTTTGAACACATACTGCAAAACAGGAAAGGTGACAAGAAGCACAGGGAGTTTTGCTTTGTCTTTTTTAAAGCCTAAGCATGCAAAGGTGCCTAAATACCTTAATTACCTCCAAATACTACTTAATTAAAAAAAAAACTAACAAAAAAAACCCCAAACATAAACTAAATGCTGCTGTAGGTATTTCAGTTATTGTTATTTGAGGGAGACATCAATTTGGGTGTGACACATGCATTACAGCTTCCAGGGCAACTCTTTTACTTGCAATATGAACAGGATTTTTAAAAAATATTTTACTCCTGATTCTGTTCATATTGCCTTCTCAGATGAAACTTTCACATACATATAGAACAATCAACAGAGTATATGTTTTATAAATAAGACAGACACTAATTGCAATCAAATGACAGAATATTTCCAATTTTAATCAACTAAAGTCAGGAAGGATACTGACTTTGAAAAAGCAATAATTATGCACTAAAGTAAAGAAAGTCACATTCCCTGTTTTTTTATTGGAGGCAGCCCTAATAATTTTTTTTTATGAAGCCTTTTTATATGCTTTAAAGTTTAACTGGACCTTTCTATTCTTTGACCCACTTTCCAKGCAGTTGGCATAAGGTCACTGAATATTAAGGAAAATACTGAGAAACTTAAAAGCTGCCTAAGATAATTCTTTTTACTTTAACTGTTAAAAGAATTAATTGTGTCCAGTAAAAACTGTTTGCCTGAMTACTTTGACTTGGAGTGACATTAATAATGTGCTGTTACAGAGAAATTGAGGCTCCTCATTTCTAAGCTTACAGAAAATGMAGTAGCAGAGCAATTTTGACCTCAGTATAACAACAGAAGGCACAGTAGGAGCTCTTGGAAATTAAAAAACCTCTTCCCTGTTCAGGGAGGTATTTCTGTGGGGGAAGTACATAAAAAATGGGAGATTTCCCTCAACTATTTTGCTGGGAATCACTGATAAAATGTCAAGGGCCACTCTCAGATTGTTGTTTGCAACCTGTGCCTTGTGAGACAATGACAGGAGGATGCTCCTTCCAACAGCTGCTCCCAAAACAGCTCCCCTGTTTTAGCTCAGTGAAAAAAGCAGCCTGCAGAACAAATTGTACCCTTGTCAGACATGCCAGGGTGCTACTTTAAAGATCCTGTGATGAAGAGATATAAACCTGAGAGTTTATAAACAAAATGAGTGAGGAAGGACAAAAATCATCCTTATTGATTTCTTTGATATCAAATACAAGACAGAAGACATCATCCATAGGTGCCATCAGCAAYCCAGCTCAAAATCTTAAGCAGAATGCACTGATCTAATTTTGAGCTGGGTTTTGCTCACTCTTGGCAGTAGTTGATCCCTGAGCAGTAAGCAAACTGGGAACTTTCTCTTTTTAATGACAACATTGCTGCTTCCAGTAGAAGCTGCTTTTAATGTAGAAACAAGGGAAGCAATTTTAGAGACAYTCAATATCAACATCCCTATGCACTGAACAAAGAAGAAATGCACAAGGGAAAGTAGATTTTACTTAGCAATTCATTTTTAAATAGCTTTGGATTAAAAGCACAAAAGTAGACAAACCTAAGCGTATTTTAACCAAGATGTGTGAAAACACYCATCAGAAAGATGATCAGTCTTGTACCATCTCAACAGTTACTCTTGAAARAGTTTCCTTTTGCAGACAGGCATTTGGATGTGCACTTTGGGGTGCTTTTTTTGTTTGTTCTATTAAAAGTAAGAAGGGTTGTTAAAATTTTGTTTCAGCCAATGCTATGACCAGGAACAGCTTTATGAACAGAAACTACTCAAAGTCAARCACTTGCCTAAGTATTAGCAGGACTGGAAACATTATTTTTGTAGATGTTTGCAAAATAATGATTTTATTAGACTACCCTCTACACATAGGTATGGTAAGTAATCATCCCTTAATCATCCCTTAAAGATCAATAATTTCTGGAACCTTCCTATCAATACTCTGTTTTTCCTTCTAAGTAAGTGTAATTTCATGTGTGTATGTACACCTATATATATACATATATAAGACACACACAGTCTCACAGTTAAAGGCAAAAGGATATTTAACAGTAGGAACTGGAACCCTGTTAAAAATAATTAAAGCTCAGTGGTGCACTGGGATTTTTGTTCTATATACTATTTGGGTAAGACARGGCTGACATTAATAAATCAATCAGAGCCTCTGAGAGTTGTCATCTTTCTCTAAAAACCTGTTTCTTAAATAAATATATTCTTTTTTTAAAGTCTGCAGTTTTAACGATTATTTCTTTTTTTTTTTTCTAAAATAGATATTCAGAATAGCATAGCATAGACAAGATAATGTACTTTTCAAAGATTTTAAATACAATGCTATCTTAGTTCATCATTGATTTTGTACTATTCCTGTAAATTGTCATTTGCAGCTATACAAATGCATATCTCTCTGGTTTCAAAATGAGGAAGTCACATTTTTACCTGGAGTATTGTACTGCTCAGAAAGCATTAATGTACTTCTGCTTCTGGCTAAAGATGACTGTGTGGGAGTCAGCAGTCGAGAAACAAGAAAGTTTTCCATTGGACTAAGATGCATGCGGTGAGCTGAAGGATGGGAGCAAATAAAATAAAATTTAACATGCAAAGAAATAAAACAATGTTACATTAAAAGAACTGAAATTAAATTATGAAATGATTCAATGGAAAGACAAAAAAAAACCTTTGAAGTTTTTGAGATTTGAGATATTTGAAGATAATTTTCATTCCCTCTGAAAAAAACTTCTAATTCCTCAATTGTTTTAAGTTTTCCACCTGTACAATACACAGGGTAAGGTTAAGATTGTGTTGTATTTTGTTTTTACTCAGGGGCATGTTCTATTCTGCAAAATGGTTGCTTTCATGACTCAGCATGAAAAAGGTTTGTCTCCTTCCCCTGTAGGAAAGGTAAAACACTTGGTAGAAGAGCACAGCTGCTCACTAATGTTCCAACCATCCTGGGACTGCATTTAAAATCTGCCATCTCACCACCTTATGTAAGGCTTATTTATACAATGTGCCTGCATTACTTCCTGCTCCATAAATATCAGTGTCAACTATATCATATTTATAGATGTTCCTATTACATGTACATACAGCCATCTGTCATAATAACCTCAAAGCTACTGATGTGCTCTCCTTAAGCAATTCAAAAATTAAAATCAGTTTACTTACTCTTTTTCATTCTAGAAATAAGCCTTTATAATAATTTATTTCAGTAAATATATTTTTTTTCCTATTAGATGTTAAAAAATGGGGTMGAAGGAAAAAAAGAAAACACAAAAAAAAACTAAAAAGGAATCCAAAGAGTTCACAGTGAGATAAACCCTTCAGTCCTCTTTTGTAATGTTTAGCAACCACTAATCCTACAAGATGATCATCTTTTCCTGAGTCTCTCAAGGATCAGATTTCATAAGAAATGAAAGGGCTCTACAGCTCTGGTCCCCAGATTGAGGTCTCCCAGGTGGCTCACTGGAGGTACCCCTGCCCACGGTACATCCCATAGCTATTGTCAAGCCACACATTTGCTTTGCTTGTTATTCCTTCTTTTGCTAGAAATTCACAACCAGTACAGTTATAGGAAACTGCTGCAGTCACAGCAATTCCAACCCTGTTTGCTGGAGTACCAAAAATTGAAAAAAATCAGTAAAAAACCCATAGCATTTGTGGCTGGACTGTGATCTCCAGCMCGRCAGCACTTGGGACAAGCTGCAGAAYGCAKCATTAATACAAAATCTCTCAAATTCTTGAGTTCCTTTGAATACCAGAATAAGCAAAGCCCAAAGCTCCATGGGCCAGCAGTGTTTAAGCAGAAGGAGAGGTGCAGCTTTCACTTGCCTCTGTCAGGGGAATGGGTTATGGCCACGGTGGAGGACGAGAGGCGTTTACTGATTGGAGACTCCATTTGCTTGGGCAGRTTCATTGTAGAAGCTGAAAGTTTGTCACATGCTGCAGAGAAATGCATTGAAGATATTTGTATTCACACCACAGTGTTGATAAACTCCCAAATAAACCTCACATTTGTACTCGTGATGGCTGCTGATGGCAGAGCTGAATTAGACCTGAGATCTCTTTGTGCCTGCTGAAAACCAGCATCCTGTGACACATCTTGGGCATGCAACTTTTCTGCTTGTGAATTTAACATTCCAGTTCTATAACAGCCTATCTTTTATTCTGACAGTGGTAAATATCAGGTCTGAATGAGTGAAGCTATTCTGATACAAGATACTCAATACAAGTTAACCAAAGAAAACAAACTGCACACAGGACAACTCTGAACTCATTTTCATTCTCCCTCCCCTCYACCTTCAGTCTGGAAGAGCTTGGATTCACATCAGATATTACTYTAGTAAGAAAATGAAATAACCAACATTTGTGTGAGACCTCACTGTTTTAAGGACTGAGCTGGCATCAGCCATTTGGCTTTATTGCTCTGTGCTTGAGAAGAATTAAAAAAAAAAAGACAGCTCAGTTTTTTTGGTACATTTTTCTTCTAAAATACTGTGTTTGAGCACAGTATTGATTTCCTATCTTGGCATTTATTCAACTGAATGAAAGAGAAATGTTACTCAAGTATTACTACTGAGTACTAGTACCCAATGATCACTGAATTATGCTCAGAAGTAAAAACCGCAATGATCTGTCCCCGAAATTTGAATTTCATTTGTTTCAAAACCAAAAGTATTTTCAGCTAGAGATATGTATGTGTCTGTAAATCTGCACATCCTAAGTTACTGCATTCCCTGTTACATCCATCAAATCATTGTCTTAGTGRGGTTTCCAAGATTTGCCTCCATCTACTACAGTAAACAATGCAATTCACTCCATTTGTTTTTTTAAAAAAGCACATTTAATGCTGGTATGCTGCAAAACATCAGTTGCACAGGCAAATACCTTYACACATGAACAACAATCAGTAAAAAATTTGAATCTGTTTCCACAGAAATAATAGTTCTGTGGGATCATAGGCAGAAAAACAATTACTGTGAATTCTGCAGGAGTAATAGCCAAGCCTAACCCCTTCTTAGGAGGAAAAAAGGAACCTACTACTCAAAAGCATATGCTGTGTTTTCTTTTCAAAATGCCAAGTCCATTTGCAATCTAGATGAGAAATCCTATATCCAATCCATTTGT